GAGAAAGGAGAGGAGGTCAACAGAGAAGGGTTAAAGGTTAATTTCCAGATTGCTGGGATATGAAAGGTAATGGTCCCAGATGCCTGTGAATTTCCTTTCAATAGAGGCATCATCATTTAATGTACTCTTTTATTGCCCCTTTCACATCAGCTTCCCTGTGTTCCAAAATACTCTTTTCTTCTGCTATTAGGCATAGCATTTCATATACTGAGGTCTTCTGATGGGGCTTGACGGTTTTGACATATTAGGTAAGGTCAGTAAATCTACTAGAAACATAACCTACTCCTGCTAAAGGCAATGGGAACTTTGCCACCGATGTCTATGGCGATGCAGAAGGTCCAGTTCTGATGACTAATGGCATTAGTCACATTTTTACTGGAACCTCTTGTTTATGAACAATTCCAAAACATTTGTTCAAAGAGCTCAGTTTAAATGCAAACACTGCAGCTTTTCTTCCATTTTATGATATCGTGAGCTCTTGAACTCTGGTTTGTGTCATCTGTAGTCTGGGGGCAGGTAGCATACAAAAGACTTTTTCTTACAAACATTGAACAGTATGGGAAAGCCCAAGAAGTAGTACATGTCTTAAACCAAATGTTTCATGGTTGAAAGGTTACAAGCTGATGGTGGGAGTCCTGGTCCCTCTCTGGTCATTTTCTCATTTTCTACTGCTAAATGAATGGGCAGACTCATTGGTAATGATGAGTATCAACTCCTTAGATTCAGTCAATTCATCTCAAACACCCTATAGGAATAATAAATTAAATTTTTGTATGCCCTTTGCTATGGGCAATGGCCTCAGCTCCATCATTCCCTGATGGAGGGTTAAGGACATGGCAGAGGATGTCCCCTGGGCCACTCTGCAGCTGTGTAGCCATATGTGGAAAACTCTCCCAGGGTTTCCCAGGTCCTGCCCCACGAAGGGTTGCTGGACCCACATCTGCTACATGAGGGTCTAAAAAAGGTCCTTTCTAGAGAGAAGTGGAAGTAGAAGGAGGGAGTAGAAGGAAGGAAGCAGAGGGCTGTCTCCTCCCTAGGCTCCATGGGCAACTAGGAAGCCCATGCAGGTCTGAGCTGCAGTCTGCTGCTTTTAGCACTGCTCTTACTTCAAGCATGAGGCCCCACATGGATACTAGATGGGCAAATCATTTGTGCTATGCCTTGACCTCTCAGCTAAGCTCAGGGCCCCATTTTGTATGTGATTAGTTTGTGGTCACAAGTGTCTAGGACCTAAATAGACATAGCAGACCTACTATTTAGGTCTCTATTACCTCTCTATTGCAGGGGAAAAGGGTTGGTGGCAGACAGGAGAGCAAGGCAATGGTATCCACAGCTCAGGACAAGAATTAAAATTGAAGCTACAAAGCCTTGCCCCCAACACAACCACAGACTTACCCTTCCTCTTTTTAAGGCTTTTCAAGTCAAGCTCCATTGCTCAGAGACAAGAGTCCACAGGACTATAATGGGTAAATGGGGTTTACCAGCTTCTAACTGGAGTAATACAGCACTTACCCTCTTCTTATGTACAGCAAATAAATCAGAGTTCACCTGCTGCTTTTTGGAGAGGAGCTTGAAGTGTCTGGTTAATCAGAAGGCAGCTCTGAACACATTATAAGGGTTGCCCGATGGCCGAACTACCACATTTGCCTGCCTGCTCCCAAAGGATGTTAAAACCAGATGCAGTGCATGCAACTTACTTTTGTATCCTCCAACTATGCCAAAGCGCTATTTTACACTTCAGCAGAGAGCCAGTCTCTACGTAAATAGGCCACTAAACAAAATTATGTGGTATTGGCATTTCTCAGAACATCAGACACAGATATTGCCATTTTTCGGGATGTGGGATGTAAAATGAACAGATTTCATACCATGACTTCCAAGCCTCCATACTGGGACTTCTGATCAACTGCCCTATTCACCATAGTTATGGAAGTTATTTATGTTAAACAGATTAAAGGCTGAGCAACTTAGATTTTCTCTGAGCGATGTGTTGTTTCAGCTTCTTTTATGTTAACATCTGTTTGCATTAGTGTGGAAATACCATACTCGCCTTCCCTTGAGATAAAAATTTACTTGTGGATTCAAGTTTATCTATTTCTTGTTAGAGTAGCAATGTCTTCTGGTGAGGGGCCAAATGTGCTGGTTCCTGGTGGACACTACTTATCAAAACACTTAATTCTTTACACACCTTGTAAGGAGATCTGTACGGCAGCAGCAGTGAGAAAGACTCCATCATCTTCCATAAAAATAATTCTAACACATTTTCAGCCCAACTCTTTTCTCACTGAAGTCACCAGCCTAATTCCTAGAAATGTACCTTAATAGCAACTTTATGTGCTGTAAGTTGCAATACTCAAAAGTAACCAACTCTTCCTGTTATTTACAGCTTTGCTATTTGTTGGGATTAAAGTCTGACTCTTTAGAAACACTTTATAGCACTGTTCAATTTTTTTACTTTCAATTTTCTGTTTTATGTAATGTAACCACTTGGTAGCTTTTGTTCAAAAATAATTCTGCAAGTATTTTTCTACCGTAAGTATAATGGGATGATTCTATCACTACAGAAATTCTGGAAATTTATACAAATATGATGACAAATTTTCCTCTGTTTGAATCAGGCTTTCTCTCTGCCTGCCCCGCCTCTTGATTTGTGCTAGTGATGTAATAGTAGATTTGTTCTTATTTTGGAACAATTACCAAAATTTCTGTAGTCCCTCTTGTAAGAATCTCTGAGGCAAGCGGGGAGAAGCTAAAGGTGTATCATACCCAAGCAGGGATGCAGCTCTTGTTCTTCAGGGCCTTTGCCAGGCTATGAAGCATTGTGTCCCCACCATGGGCAAATGTTTAATTCTGCCAGCAATGCAGCCTGGCTGGGACCATCTGGCCATGGGATGGGGAGAAGAACTGGCAGATGGGTGTTTCAGGTGAAGGTGAGCCAGAGGCTTTACCTGAGTATTGCCAGAAGCAAAGGAGAGCAGAGGTTTACATTATACTTTGTAACCTGCTCCTCCTGAGCTGTGCTGCTTCTTAGTAGTGCTAAGGGTTTAGAGTATCTGTGCACCAGAAAGCTTTCCTAAATCAATAGTCTCCTGCAGCTACATAAATAGCTAACTGGAGCAAAGATGTTTATTTTTGAAGTGGGAGATGTTGTTCCTGTGACAATGTTTTATTATAATGATTTTGATCCTCAACCTGCAATCTTTACACTGAGACAAGGCTCCCCTTGATTTCAGTGCAAGCTTTGTCTGACTAAGGATTTCAGAATTAGCTCTTTGCTTTTATTTTTATTGAAAAACAAGCCTGCACCTGACAAGGAAAAACAGTAAGTGGATCATGTCAGGGAGACAAGTTCCTATGAGAAATTTCTAGCAGGAAAAGCACAGCTTTACGATTACATGGCAGTAAGCTGCAAGGTTAAAGCTTTAAGAGTTTTCAAGGAGAAAAAGATGCTAATGCACTAATGTGAAGACACCTATTCTATCAGGGAAAAAAGGTGCAACCCAGCACATGCCTCTGGTACCTCCTTGTCAGAGGAGTAAATGAGTAAAGGTTGCAGCACTGAAATGAATAAAATATAAAGAAAACATTTCCATGAAAATACAAAACACTCATGGAAATAAACACATTTTGATCTAAGGATTTGGTCTGAAGATTACACATCAGTCTAGATATATTTTATGCCACCAAAAGGGCCCTAATCTCAAGGGGGCTATAAGCCTACTCAGGAGTGGCAGCTCTGCACCAGCACGCTTCCCTTCATGAGAACTACCTAAAAACATGCCATTTGCAGGGAGGAGCCTCACGGCAACCAAACCCTGCAAAGATGGGGAGCACATAAAGCTCTACAGCTAATAGTAATTGCAAAGACTCGGAAAGGGGCTGGGGTGGGCCTGCCCGTGGTGGGCGGCTGTGCCATGCAGACAGACAAGAGGTACTGCGGCAGAGGAATGGGGCAGGACATGAGGGACACTGGGAATAGGACAGGCAAATGCAGGATTGGGGCTTCACTCACCACCTGCCCCCCTGCCCCCTGGCATCGCTGAACACAAAAAATAGCCTAGGACAAAATGCCAGCAGGATAGGGGCATCTACTGGCTGATCTGGCAAACGGGAGCAAATGAAGTGTTTGGATGGGTTTAGATTTTGGGGTTTTGGGTTGCGGTTTTTTTTTTGGGGGGGGGGAAGGGGGCAGGAGAGGTGCAGTTTCAGAGTCATGGGTTTTTTTCTCCTTTAAACAAAAAATTCTCACTGGGAGCAGAGGGCTGTGAGTGCATCACTCATCCCACAGCTGCTTGCTGAGCCCTGGTATGTGCTTCAGTGCCTTGCTAATGTGGGTGGGTGCTCCCAGAAGTTCATCTCAGCCCTCGTTTGACCAATATCAAGGGATTGGTGTTGCTGCAGGCACAGACAAGCAAGGTGGAATGTGGGGGTGCGTTTTCCGGGTGGATATGGGTGGTGAGATGCTACATTAAAGAGCGACAACCCCGTTGCCCGGAAGAGGGGTATAGGGGCCTGAATTAAATTACTCAGTGTCCTCAGGCACCAGATTTCAAAGGTGGGGAGCAGGGGTGGCCACGTGTCAGCCAAGCCTGCTGCTTTTCCAGCAGTCCGCGTGGGCAGCAGGCAGGAGACAATGACCCTGGCAGGGCGGGTGTCCCCCCTGCAGGAGGCTGCACCAAATACTGATCCTCAGAGGTGCACCAGCATCTCCCTCTAAAAGCGAGCCGTCAGCTCACCCTTACCGCAGGCTGACAGTCCCTTTCAATGAGACTGTGCAGCCACGCTGATCCTGCTTTTTAAACAGAGAGAACTCCGGGATCAGTGTATTTAATGAAACTCATCCCACCATAGGCGTGGACCGCAGGCACTGTCCCCTGGCCAGCAGAGCGCGCGGTGTGGAGGCACAGGCGGCTCCTCCCGCCGCGCCCCCCCGCACACCCGCAGGACCTCTCTGCCCACTTCAGAACGGCCTGCACACGCCGGTTTTTATTTCCCCCCAGCTCTCCCGAGCCGCGGGTACCTCCAACCACCGTGGCTCTCACTGCGGCGGCGCTATCAAGAGATCGGTACCGAGCCCCCGGGGGGAGGCAGGGTCAGGCAGGATCCCCGCGGGAGCGGCACCTCCGACGGTGCGGCCCGGAGGAGGCTGCAGGGGGTCTCCCCGCCGGCCAGGCGCGCGTAGGGATGGACGGGGGGGATCAGGGACCCGGCGCTACACAACGGAGCCGCTCCCGGTCCCACCCCCGCTTCTCGCGGCATTCCCGAGTCCCGCACGTCCCGCTCGCGGAGTGGCGTGGCGTGGCGTGGCGCGGTGCTCCCCCCGCCCGCCTCCCGCGGCCGCCGCCCGGCGGGTCCCGCCCGGCTCCGCAGTGTCGGGGGCTGCCCCGTCACCTGATCGTCGCCGTCGCCGCGCACGCACCGCACCGCCCCCCCCACCGTCCGTCCCCCCCCTCCCCGCGAACGGGGGCGGGGGTGCCCAGTATATACGGCCCCGCCGCCCCCGCCCCTGCCTGCCTCCTGCAGTACGGGAGGCTGCGAGCGCCGCCGCCGCGCCGCGCCCCGGCAGGTGGGCGAGCCGTGCCGAGCTGGGGCTGCTGCGGGGTGAGTGCGCGGGCGGTGGGCGCGGGGCTCCGGGCCCCCCCATCCCATCCCCTCCCCTCCCCGTGGGGGGCGGGGGAGCGGCGCCGCCGCCGCCGGGGGAAGGTGCCGGGGGGCGGCGGCCGCCGGGGGGCTCGCCCAGGTCGTACCTGTTGCGGGGCTCGGGGGGCTGGGGGCGTGGGCGGCGGCGGGGGTGCGGACCTTGGGGGGGCGGGCGGTGATAGGTGTGCGCGCCTCCGCCGTGCTCGTGGGTAGAGCCCGGCGGACCCGCCGCCGGCCGGCCGGCCGGGATGCGGAACGAAGCGTCTCGTCCTGCCCGCCCCGGGGTCGCGGTGACGGTGTGGGTGGATGCTCGCCCAGGGCCCGGCACCTGCACTACGGCAGTCCGCGGGCACAGCCCCTGCCCGCCCCGGGCGCTTCCCGGAAAGTTTCTAGAACTCCTTAAAATGGGAAGTGGCATTAACAAAGCCCCGCTCCCGGAGGCCGGGCTGCCGCGCCGATGAGGATACTCGCGTGGGGGGCTCGCCTTGGCGACCTGCCCTTCCCGCACCGCTGGACGCGGGCTGGCGCGGGGGGAGCCGCGCGTGGCCCTGCCTTGGCCGGCTGCGGTGCGGGGCGATGCGGTGGGTGCTGCGGGCACGGCGCAGTCGGGGCTGTACGGCAAGGGGTGGCAGGACCCACATCCCTGAGAGCAGCTGCGGGTAAAAGGGTATTGCTCTACCTCGGCTGTCGGGGTGTGTGTTTTTGGTTTTGGTTGGGATTTGTTGGTGAGTTGTTTTTTTTTAATTCACATCCTTCCGAACTTATGCAAGCATCACATTCTAGCTACTGTTTACCTCAGGAGGAGCAAGCAAAAGCACAATTAATTACTCTAAGGTTTCATTGGGAAATACAGTATATGAAAAAAACGATTGCTGGTGTGTTGGGAAGAGCAGACACTCTCCAGAAATGCGCTTTTGCCAGGCAGATTTTGGGATGCAGGCACTGCGTTGGCATGCGCTGGAAGGTTCCAGAACAGCAGCGCTGCTTGTTCCCCCGGCAAGGGAGCGCCCCAGAGCACCCACCTCTTCCTAGGGACTGCGCGAGGGGAATGAGCAATCAGGCTCCCACACCGACACAGCACATCTCACTGTCACCCGGGAGGGGGGATGCCAAGGTAAAGCTTGAGCGCTGAGTGTTTGGGATGAGGAGAGCTTGGCTGCCCTCGTGCAGTCGTGGTTTGGTGACCAGGCTGTAGCTCAGTGCAGTCACTAACAGGGAACCACCAGGAAACGCCTTTGCTGTGCTACTACTGCTGAAATGGTTTTGAGAAATCCAGGTTGCTACAACCTGAAAGAAATCTGAAAGGGCAATAGATGGTGATGCTCCCTTTTAGTAAGCCCTCTCCCCCTGCAGTGGGGCACTAGCTTTCCTGTTAGCATATGCTGCAGGATGGGTTCTTTTTGCTTTCTCACAAACTAGACCAATTACACAAAATCAGCTGAGAGGGGTGACCTACTTGGAGGGAGAAGACGAAAAAGAGTGTTTGAGGATGAGACCTTGATTTCAAACATCACCTTGCATGTCCTACCATTTGTCCTAACCAAGCAGAGTTGTTACCTCTGAAGGTGTGAACTGAATCGCTCAAAGGCTTGATTTTTTTTTTTTACTTTTTTTTCCCTTTTTGCTTCAGCAGAAAGGAAATAGTTACTCATGAAAGTGCATTTCAGGTGTTTCTTAAACATTCTTTCATTACAGCTGTAACATCAAGAGGTTAAAATACCTAGAACATTTCTCCTTACCCTGTCTCTCACAAACCGCATTTAAAATTTGAGCAATAGCAAAATTGTAGGTAGCTCTAGGGAAGTGGGGGATATTTTATAGTTGAAAGTCACAAAGCCAACAAATAACATCTTCACAAATACCTGGGTCTTGCAGGTCTTCAACATGGCTGGCACTGAATCTACTACCTTCCTCCATGAGGCTCAGTGCAACGTGTAAGTACAAGAGGTATTTCTCTGAGTTTTTGTGTGTATGTATTTTGGTAGATTAATGGTTTCTTCCCCTGCTTTAAATAGGCGTGTTGATTGCGACAAATGGGGAACGTAACATATTGCAGATGTTTTTGGTTGGGAGGCATCATGGGTAATATTCGAAAGGCTCCGCTTTCCATACAAAAAAAAAAAAAAAATAGTAAGTAGAAAAGAATTTGCCTGTGTTTCCAGTGCTTGCATTATCAGCACCTACCCCCCGTTAAAGAATGAGATATATTTCAATTAATTTGTGACAATGTTATGGCCTTTCTTGAGCCATTAAAATGTTGGAAGGTAGGTACCTCAAGGATTCCATTTATACCACTCAACAGTCAAGGAACAGATGAAAACCGCAAAACAAAACTAAGGTATGGTAATGAGTACAACGTATTTAATGTAGAAATAATGTTTTTAATGCAATAAGAATAAAAACTGTCTTACCGGCATGAAACATCGTCGTATTAAATGCCCGTTCAGAAGGGAAGAGTTGACCGCATTTCACTGCAGGTTAAGTAATTGTGGGTTAATAGGATTCTGTCAAACACATGCTGGGAAATAGTAGTGCAAGAAGTAAGGTTTCTTCTTAATATGCCTGTATTTTACTTTGAAAAGAAGACCACATTTCTGAAAACTCTTGCTACTGCACCTGTGCGTGATGGCTGTCTGGAGATGTAAAATAGGTTTTAAAAAGATGCTGTGAAGCAGAGAAATAACATAAGATCAATTTTAGAAATAGAAGGGAGGGAGGAATTGGGCCTTCCCAAGAAAACTATGTCCTACCTGATTATTTTCCCTTTAATCCATCAAGTTAAAAGATGTTCAGTTTTGACTTGTGTTAGCATAATATTGTTGTTGGCTAGTCTTAGTCAGGCTTGCATTTTAAAAGATATATGAAGGTTTTAGTTAAATCTAGAGTACATAGAGAGACTTGGGAGAATGTTATATTACTTAAAATTGTTTTGAAAACAGAATATGTTTTCTGTGGTGTAGCAGCGTCTTCAATATTCTCTCACAGTGTGTACTTTGTATTTCATGGTAAGCTATGGCTGCTCAAATCACGTAAATAGGGATTAAGTAAATGTGACATTCTTTCCTGATAAACTTGTCATTTACTATTCTTACGAAGGTGGTTAAATTCATTTGTTCATTGAAAATCTCATAACTTGAATTTCATAAGTATATGGTTTTTAACATCCTTTTCACATACCGTGCATTTGCGTAGTGTCAATACATATGCATGGTGCAAGGAGAGAAAACGGTGCTATTTACTTCATCTTATTTTAACCATTACATTTAATATGTCTTATGCAGACAGAGTGAGATTGATGCATCATGTGTGTGTGGAAAAATCCTTGTTCTCAAAATATTTTTAGGATAAAAAATTGACCAATATAGGCTTGCCTGGTTTTGGGGAGGAGTGAGTGCTTTGAAGAAGGGTTGGGTTTTTTCCTTCTGGTAATTAATTTTTAAAGAACTGGTTTCCTAGTTTAAGAAACCAGCAAGGGAGAGAGAGATGCAAGATGTTATTACAAGAAAAGGTCAGTACTATCCTGTTCCTTCATTGTTTCATTCATGGGGATTTTCCTCCTCGTGTCTGACCTGCCAAAAGATTATTTGGGAGGGAGGGAAAGAACAGTGTGTTTTTAAGGTAGACACATGTATCGGAGGGAATGCTTAATTAGGAAATTGTAATACAACCCGATAGCCTAATGGAGTGAGAAGATGACAATTCTCAGCCAGCTGGGTGGGGCACAATGCAGTGCTAACTGTAAGCCTTTTGTCTATTAAAAATGTCAGAAATAAAGTGGTTGACTGGCAATCAGCATCTCACTTGACTTTTTTTAAAGCCAGGAAAACAAAGTTAATGAATGTGTCTTTCAGTCGACACCCTGTATATCGGGATTTTTGTGCATTACTTGAGAGCCACGACTCTTGCAGCTTTGGTTCTCATTGCAGCATGGCTATTCAGAGTTTGAAAGATGATTTGTGTAATAGTGCCTGTTGAAATTATTAAAGCCTCGAATAGAAGAAAAGCCCTGTATACAGCTGCTAAACTACTTTGCCTGACTGTTTTTAAGGTTTCTTTTCTTGTCAGTTTAATGAATTAACTTCACCAGAGTTTCACAGGGTTGCTGGAAAATACAAATCTTGCTGTTCCTAAGCTGTGCTTTAAGTCTCCTGTATTACCGAATAGTTGGAATTACTAGATAATCACAGAAAACCCAGTGCATTATGTAAGTTAAATGTAGACATTGTTTAAAACCTTATTTTAATGAAGTAAGGCATTCCTAAATGCTCTTGCTAGAAAAATGACTTCGAGCTTTTTTAAAATGCTGAACATAGTGCATGATTATTAAAGAATTTGTAGCATTTTGTAAGCAGGATACTGGCAAGATGCTGTTATTTTTTAATGCTCCAGAATGTAAAATCAAGTCTAATAGTCCCAGATATGTGTAAGTAGCTATTTATGTGTTGCTAAATTTGAAACAGTATAAATTGTATAGCTTGTGCAAAACTCTAGTAAGCCTGAATCTATTGAAAATGGTGTTGTACAGAAGTCTGTTCTGCTGCAGATCATCAGTGTGAGGGGAATTTTATATGGTTGTGAGGAACCTTGGAAACAGAACTAATATTTGTGCTGGTTTGTTAGTACATTAAATGCTTAATTACTTCCTTTGAACACAATTGAGGAGGTTCATTTACAAATTAATACTTGTTTTTAATGCTAGGTGACAGTATCGCCACTGAAATGCAGAATTCTCTGTGGTTTACACTCTCTGTAGAGACAAACAATTTAATTTGCATGAATCAAAAAGAAAATGGTGGCTTCTCATCTCTCGGTGAAGACTGAAGAGAAAGCTGATGTGGTGATGTCTTAACACTGGGGCACCATTTTGCAAAGAATAATCTATACGCTGAAAGCTGTCATCGTAAAATTAGACAAACTTTTTAATGAGCAGTGAACGTTTTGAGATGCAGTTCCTTTCTGCTGCACTTAATGTCTGAATGTTATAATGGGTGTCTGTGTTAATAGAACACATTCAGGCTTATGTATTGTGTTATAGATAAAATAGGGAATAGGCTAAAGAGGGGAAAGTACTATACAGGAACTGATTTTTCTTAAGCTTACTGTAGGATATTCAGTTCTAAGATGAAAACGTGTAAGTGGTAAACGGTACATATTTATCATCTGAGCAGTATTGATCTAGATGAAAAGAAAACAAGTAAAAATCAGCATTTTAAATAGAACTTAAAAATGAATCTCTAAGACTTTGAAACCTGTAATCAATGTAAATTGGAGGGGAGGAGAAGGAAGGGATTGGGGGAACAGTTGCAGGGAGTAGGGCACATGCTCTACTTCTTCAGCTTTGTCTGAGGAAGTAGGTATCATGATGAAGAAGATAAAGCAACCACCTAAATTTACTGGATTTCAAATCAACTAGTAGCACTTCTGAATTATACGGGGTATTTCTGCAAATCAGTGTGTTGTGTCTGTGCTTTGTTGGAGCAGCAGACCTATTTGCAGAGCTGTTTGTCACACTGTCATTTTTATTATAATAAGGCTTATATGGAAATACTCCTGCAATGCATCTAAAGAAAAGACAAATGGCAGCATTTATAGAAGGTGGCAGATTATACTGCAGTGTGTGTGTAGGGAGGAGGGGGTTGGTGTCATGTTGTCCCAGCCCCGTTACTAAAGAGGGATTGACATTACTTTGTTTAATTACAGGGCACGTTGCGTTGGACTAATGTAAAGATTAACACAATAGTGCCCTTAACCTGGTTAAGGAGTCAGGGTCCTGCCCCAAGGTAAATAATGAACATGAGTTTGTTTGCCCAGTGGGTCTTACTGGGTGGAAAAATAGCTGGGAGTCTGTTCTTTTTTCAAGTGTTTGTCTTGCATATAAATCAATTAAAATTGGGGGGGGTTTGGAAAAAGTTTGGTATTTCTAACAAACCAAGAGACTTGGATTTTGTTGTTTTATTTCAACTGAAGGGCCTGATACTATTTTAATATTTTTATACTTAAAGAGCAAAACCATCAATTTCAAGATAAAAAAATAAATGGTGACCCCTTTAGCTGATATAAAGCATCAATTGCTCCTGTGGACTCATGCTTTTTGTCCTGTGTAGTGAACATGGTCCTTCATAATTCAGCAATATGCTGTTAATTTTTATGAATTTGGAATTTATTTTTCTTAAAGCATAAGAGGGAAAAACATGAACAAGGGAGGTAGAGGTGAGAAAAAATGTTTTTCCTCTTTGTGAAAAACTGCTTTCCCTGCTGAATAGATTTAATTTTTCCATCTTCCTTACATGAAGGGAGATAGAGACTTAATGTGCAGGAAGGTGCAAAGCTGGGGCCTAGTTCCTTGGTGTCCTAATGGGTCACACCTTCCCCCTGTGGACCCTATCTGGGGATGGATAGGTCTGGCTGAGTTTTTGGCTTCTCTTGGTTCTGCGGAAAACCAGTGTTTGTCTTGAAGGCTGACAAGTAAGAAGTAGGTAATTTTAAGGATTTACTAAAGTGTGAACTTAAATTAGAATGCTTCTGAAAACAAATGTAGTCTCGATTTAGAATACCACTGGAAAAAACAAAAAGGTTGTAAATTATTATTGTTGTTAACTATCGAAGTATCGATACCGCAAACGGTTTTGGACCATGTTGCAGGAAAATGGCTGCCTTCAGTTTTCTTGGCTGCGCTTACAGCAGTGAGCTCTGCCCCAAGTCATCACTGCTGGCTTGTGGTCCCATTAGCCAAGCTGAGATGCACCTTGCACTCCTGGCATCCTTAAACAGCTCTATTAGCACAAGCTCGGTGTTCTCGCTCACATTGCCGGCAGGCTATGGGCTTTCATCCTGAGCTGCTTGACTCATCAAGACCTCTTAAAACAAATATTAGTAAGGCAGAGACAAAAGGCACTGGCATCACTGCAGCTGGGGGAATGGTGCTATTGACTGT